GGGTTCGAAGCCTGTCGTCGAATTCCCGCCGGGAGAGGCCTGGGTCTGAGGTACACCCCGACCGACTGTCAGGGGCCCCATTCAAGCGCGACCAGCCCCTCCTCCTCCGACCCTGGAGGCTGGAATGTGCCTCTCTCGGGTTCTCCTCCATGTTATTGCGACCGAGCCGTCATCGCTGCCCGTCCAGCACGGGTGATTGGGCACGCGATTCGGCTCGGTCACCACAGCCAACCCACACTCCCGCTCGGCCATACTATGCAGGAGCATGTCCTGCGCCGGGCGGGAGCGGTTGGTGTTCGCCNGCAGCATTTTTAATGCCGTGAAGGCGCCGGCTGAGAGGCCTCCTCCTGGCCTGTACCCTCTCTCGTTGCCGCTTGTGGCTCCGTGCTAGCCACAACTACAGGGATGAGCGCCTCCACTTCCATGGCTTCGCCCAGGTCGTTCAGCGGGGCCTCTGTATTCCTTGTAGTTTCCTTCTGTTGCGTCCTCTGCTTCTGGGCCTCCTCGCGTCCAGCCTTCCTCTTCGCCTTCTTTGAAGGCATGGGGCACGCAGCTCCGCCAGCTTTGTGCGCCGCCTTCAGACCCTTTGCGCTACAGACTGCGCAGTGCGGGTCCTTGGCGCACTCCTGCGTTTTGTGCCCTTCCTGACCACAACGATAACACATATTGCTGATGTCCGATGGGCTTCGGCATTGTTGCCACACGTGGCCTCTTTCGTGGAACCGGTAGCAGACAAGGGGCCGAGCGCTAAGGAGCTCCACCCTTGCTGCCACCCATCCAACTCTCAGGCGTCCCGGCCTCAGCTACTCTATTCGCCGAGGCCATCGGGCACTGCACCCACGCCGTGGCAAGACCATTGGGGGCTTTTCTGAATCGGCCCACCTTGATCTCACCAACGTCGCATTGCCCTGCTTGGGCCACTGCATCGGCGAGCTCCTTCTGCGTAACAGAGTCGTCGATGTCCTTACCCTTATCTCGGCCGTCTTGGTCGGTCGGGCTACGCGCACTCCTTCTTTCCCAGCCGTTGCTTTGCGGATTTCTCCTGCGAGCGCATCCGCCTTTATCGCTCCTTGCGGTCCGGATATCTCCAAGACCAGTGCCCCGGTAAGGGCCTTCCTCTGCTTTAGAGGCCCTATTCCCAGGGCCTCTAAATTCACCTTCGCTCTCACCTCCCGCATTCCCTGGGCGTACTCGCCCTCTGGGAAGGTGATGGTCACCGCTTCTGTCCGGGGGGCCCTACGCCTCTTGTTCGTTTGCTGGCCCCTTTCCCCTGCACTGGAGTCCTGGCAGGTTGGCTGGCGTTCCTCTTCTCTCCGCTCTCCTTCTGCACCTTGGTCGGCGCCGGTGGAGACAGAGCGGCTTTTTTGGGCACACTCTTCTTGGCCGCGTCAGCGTAGCTCCCCCTTTGGGTTTGAGGGGCTCGCCGACCGGTTGCGCCTTCTTCTTGAGGGCCCCTTTTGCCTGGGCCTCTCTTGGCTTTGAGAGGGGCTCTACGGAGTTTTTCCGATTCGCCCCCTCTCCGCTCTCTTGCCTGGCCTTTGATCGGGGTCGGGATTGGGATCGGGATTTCCCTTTCCCGTCCTCCTTTCCGGCTTTCCCTGGGGCTTTCCTTCCCGCTCCTTGCTCTCCACCCTGTCCACCGCGTTCACTCTTACGCTTGGTGGCGGCGTTCGAAGTGCCCTGGGGGGGGGGGGTCGGAACATGGGCTCGCGGTTCCGTTGTTCCGCCTTCCTTCTCCTCTTGCGCGCCCGGTAGGCTGAGCCATTGCCCCCTTGGCATCTGAGGATCACGTTCGCCAGTCTATTTCTGGCAATACGTGGGTCCTCCTCTGTGATGTCGGCTATGGAAATCCCTTCCACAACTCTTCTCATCACTTCCATGGCGTCCTCGACCGGCACCTCCAAGGGTTTGCATTTCCCCTGGAGTACCAGTCGAAGGGCCACCGATTCTCGCCTAGGCGCTCGCACTTCCGGCGTTTTTCAGTGCCGAAGCTTTGAGGCGAGTGACCCTCACCACCGGAAGAAGAGGGGGCAGCGTCTCCCTCTCCCCAGCATCCAGGTCCATCTCCTCCTCTTCTTGCTCGACCTCTTGAGGTCCCTTCGTCCGTCCCTCAGTTTTCTTTCTGAGGGCGGCTATCTCTTTCTCCAGCCGGAGCTTTTCTCCCCTCAGCCGGAGCTTCTCCTCCCACAACCTTCTCACCTCCTCCTCCTCAGTCCTGTTTGTTTCAGGTGCCGAGGTCCTGGAGGCAAAGGCGAACACCGCGGCCCTAAGGGTGTTTGTGGAGATAATCAACTCCCTCACAAACGTGCCCTTCAGGTTTTTTCGACCTGCGGGCCACCTTTTCCACCACGTCGATCTTCTCAATCATGTCCGCAGCGAGCCTTTCCGCAGACATGGTCGACATCTGACGTCGGAGTTCTATCTCCGGCGTGCCCTCTCTCCTGAACTCCTTGGCCGGGACCCTGGGGTCCAGTATCTCCTTCAGGGCCCTTTCGCTCTTGTTTGAGTTTCAGGAGTTCCCTTCTCTGAGCCCTTTTCTTCACGGCGAAGAGGTGCTCACCCGTGCTGGGTGGCCTTCTTCGCGTCCTCTTCAGAGAGGAGACAGTATCATCCTCGCTCTCCGCTTCGCTGCCCGACACGGCCGTGACGTCGACTTCTTCTCGTCCTCCGTATCCGTGCCGTCCAGCATGAGCCGATCCTCTGTTTCCGGCTCCTTGGG